CTTCTGTTCTAGAGTATGGGAATCTTCAATGCTGCGAAACAATGACCATTTGAAGGATAGAGCCAAGTACTGTCTGGTCTCATGATGAATGCGTTATCATGCAATCACTGGACTGAAGTCCAATGGTGCATATTTTCTTCTTTCTGCCAACACGTGATACGGAATGACATTCATCAAATTTCATTGGTAGGCATCCGCCTCACATTTGACATTCATTCATTAGTATTTTGCGAAATCCATTTCACGATGGCCTACTGGATAACATTCTGGTGGTTGAAGTCACCGGCCCCAGGTTGAAGTCCTGGTGGAGACAGCATCCCTCACTGAGAGTTAGGTACATCCAGCTGATGAACCCAAATAGAACGAAATGCAAGTCCTCCATTCCACTGTTGGCCACTACCCATCGTTGATGTGTAGTTGCCTTGTCTGGTGATCAATGTCACGTATACACTTGTCTATGTTCAGACTTCAGTTGCACTTGTGCCTGTTGGAATATAACTGACAAACATGAGGAAGAAGGATGATCACATTCACTTGACTGCTGAGTACATTCCACTCTGGCAGTAATCAAAAGATGTAGGACGTACAGAAAACAGTACACTGCCAATGAGTCCCTTACTAAAATGAAACAGCTAGGCAGTTTTCCCAGCTTTTCAATGGTTCGCCAAATCATGTCACTGCTTAACAAATATGACACCCACAACTGAGTCGTTTTGGTTGGTTGGTTGTAGACACTGTTAGTGTCAGCGTGTTTACATGTTAGCAGGCAGTCGATGTGTGGTCATGTTCGATATCTGTTTCGTACATACTGGTACTCATCAGCAAGTTGTATTTGTTGTAACCTTGATCACACTCTCTGGACTTTTTCAGACTGAAACTACCCAATTCACAATTCATTGATAAGTTGTCTCGACTCCTAACTCACCAACCATATAGTCGTCAGTGGAGGTTGAGTTACCAAGCCGACTGAAATTCAGTCATCATTAACGAGTGACTTTAAACGATAGTCGAACAACTGTTGAGTTAGTCAATTACGTTTCTCTATTTTGTGGAAAATTACCTTCACAAATGAAGTACCAAAATAGGATTGGTTATTTTGTTAGTTGTCAAGGTGGCCTTTGAAATCATTCATCATTGGAGCGATTGTAAACAGTATCCATTACTGTGTAAATAAATAATTTTAATTTACTCAGAAATTCAGGACCTCAAGAATTAAGCCTTGTTTGACCTGTTTACTAGTAAGTGTTGAGTATGAGTGACTTTAAAGATCACCGTGATAACCGGTGAGATAGGTAATTGGGTTTCTTTATTTTATCAACAGAGCAATCTTGCCAGTTGAAATACGGAAACGTGATTGGTTATTTCAGCAGTTGGTAGGGCGATCTTTAGAGCCAGTTGTTGAGTATACCGTTTCGTAATTTATCTTTATCTGCTCTCTTGTCATTTGTGTGTAGTCGACTGTTGTCCAGAAGATATCTTCTTGTAAATTGATTGGTTTGTTGTTGCAGTATGATTCCAGGCATGAAGGTTATATCCAACGTATGATTCCTATTAGTTTATTTATATTTTCCTTTACTGTTTCTCTCCGGTAGGAGAAATGACAAAATCACTGAACTAACCCTTTAGAAATTTGGACATCTCATTCCTACTCACGTTTCATCCCATTTGGAACTCATCAGTTAGATTTACCTGCCTTCAAACAGTAAGTAATAATATTCCCACTGATATTTGAACCCAATATTCATCGTTTCAAGCGGTTAGCCAGTGAGTTACAAGAATCACCTTTTCTTACGCAACAGGTATCAGTTTTTATTCTTTAGTCATGGTAATTTCCTATTGATTGTTATTTTAAACGGAAACAATCAATCTTTCTTGGTACATAGTCTTCTGTACAGGTTTCTATCATCAGTCAGTAGCCTTGTGGATAATACCTTGGCATCAGCTGACGAGTTTCAATTAGGACGAAATACGTATCATGCATCCTGCTGCTAGATATCACAATTAAAACCCATTATTACTAATCTACAGATATTGCCAAGGTTTCAATTCACAGTAACCAATAAAGATGGCTGTTCCCATTTTATTAAATGTTGATCTGACGAATGAAGAGGAATAAACTGTAATGACTGATCATTGGAATGTAATCGATTTCATGTTGTCCAGCTTGTCATCAGTGTTAATCGATTTCTATCGTTCACATTTACAAGTCAGTAGATTGTACACAATGATGCAATCGTAGTGAAATTTTAAGCTTATTCGTATTCAGTGTTATCGCTTGTATGACACCGTCGTTGATTGAACCGAATACCAACTCTGTTGGCATATGGGCTCCTGTGCGGATGCCTCGATACTGCCTGTCTTTTAACTATGTATAGTCTCAAATAGGACGAAATGCGCATCCTGGATTTCATTGCTAGCCACTGCCCATCATTACTATACTTAGTCCTATTTATCATCAAGGCATATCTGTTAACCTCGATGGAAAATGATCACCTCACAAAAGTCTAAAGTAGTATCAGTTGGCGATTGATAGATTTATCGGAGTCAACGGGTTTCATGTTAGGTTTTATCATGAATTCAAATCACTTGAAGAAGCACTGAAAATCTGAAAGCACTGGACAGCTGTTTCATTCCACTAGTATTGGAAATGCACACCGACCACCATGCAAAAGATTGACGCTAGGATTGTCAATTCACACAGTGAACATGTTTCTATTCAGTCATTGGGTTGCAAACCAGTACCAAGCGTTTGCCTACTTCTGCCAATTCATTATATCATGTGACCAATGTCCAATCCCATTGAGCAGTATCCGTCCTTGAAAGCGGTTTGGATGACCAGGTAATTCATGATGAACAATACCTTGAAACGTGATGAAAAGCCTGAAGACGAAACACGCATCCTGGATCCCACTGTTAATTACCGAGAGAAATGCACCATATAAGAAACTACTTAAAAACTCGGAGACATTTCCAAGTTAACATGAAAAATCCCTTGGATAACATTCTGCTTCTAGTCAGAAGGTAGTAATTAAGTCATAGAACAAAGAGAACGATGATATTGGATGATGGTAGGGTTATATTGTGAATTGACAGGAGCACGTAAATGTGGAGATCTGCTGCACTCAGCATAAAGTGTGAACAACATCCAAATTTTAAACACTCAATCAGTCAGTCAGTTAGTCAGTCAAGTAAGTCAGTGTTTCTATGTGATGGTTCAGAAACTTGGCGGCGCCTTACGAAAAGCATTTCCAACAAACTACACACATCATACATCATCAACAGCTACCGCCTACGCTCACTCGACACTGACACTGAAGATCAGATGGCCAGAATAATAAGAATAAGCAAGAAGGAACTCTGGCTGACTGGCTGGCTGGCAGTGAACCAACCAACCAATAACCCACCACCCAACAAATATGCAGAGAGAGTGGAGATGGATTGGGGATGCACTGAGAAGGCCAACTGGGGAAATCACGTGCAATGCCCTCGAATGGACTCCAAAGGGGAAACGACTATTTGGGCGTACGAGGATGACATGGAGGAGATCATGTGAGGAAGAAATGAAAGTTGATTGGCAGTCGTGGAGCCAGGTTAAGAGACGTGCTACTGAAGACCTGTGTCCACTAGGAACCCAAAGGACAAATAAATAATAAAATGATAAACGTAAATGTGAACCAATGAATTTGGACCCACTTGCTGTGAAACATAACGGTCCTGGACAAAAATATTTCACGGCATTGTAGGTGTACAGTGTTAAGCACTGCCAAACTAGGATTAAATAAAAGCAACTGTCCAGGGAACTCAAGTCTTCAACAAACCCCGACAAACTGACCATTGAAACGTGTTTACCCTAAGAAGTGTTTAGTTTTCATCGAAAAAAGATGAATAGTTACATTCACAACTGTATACCAGTGATAATATGACTTACACTGAATAGTTCTCATCTACCCCACAGTGGTACTTGCCTCGGATTACATCAACTCAGTGTTTTCCAGAGTCCCCATGGGAACAACTTAGGTTTGTCTATCTTAACAAAAACTATTTAACCACCACCTCAATAACCTAGTTGTTTCAGTGGTTGTTGGGTCATCTTAACCTTGGCAAACGATCAGTATGAAATGTTCCCATATCAAGTGAATCTTATTAAACCTCTTGCACAAACTTCAACCAGTTTTCAATATTCAATAATTCAAGGTGGATGACTTTATGTCTCACTTTGAAACACTGATAGTACTTACAGTGACTTAAGCTTAAGCTTTCACGTACTATGCCTATATATACACATGAAAACAATACATCAAAAGTAGAAAACAAGCGGAAGATAATGGTCAATCAATAATGAATGAAATAACTACACCCCCTACTAACCACCTCCACCACCCAAGAAAAAGCAATAGCAGTAAGGACAACCGATGAAATGCTATTGGAGGATTTTTTAGGCCTGTCTAGCCAATCTATAGTCTTGGTAACTACTACTACCACATGAAGTATAAGCATAAACTGAGACCATAAACAACACACAAATCTAAGCAATGATATGATTGGCTAGTGTATACTATGCATTGAACATCGAAATATGTCAAGGTTCCCTTGGTATTTTTTTTCTATTGGTTGTTTATTGACCCCGAGATTTATAAAGGATTTAACGCACTAACTGGTGAATGGTTGAATTTTACTAATTACAAAGGGGGTAGAGAAGAAATTCTACTGGTGATAGGGGGAAGGAATATTTGATGTTAGGTCAGAGAGATATTCTCATTGTTATCATCATTAATAAAGACAAGACGCTAGAGAACACAACAACTAGTCGGATCTATTCAATTTGGAATTTAAACACACAACAATAAGCATCTATTTGGATTTACTTGTATATTTTTTATTTGATATCAGAACTTTTTAAATAGAGAAAAAAAAAGATAAACACAATCTATGCTTTGATTAAAAAGTTATCGATACTCATTTCATTGGATTAATATACATTAAAATATAACTGGATAATTATGCATAAAGGTCGTTCACGAACCTCTGGTGTTTATCGAGTTGAACACTTAGTTGGTAAACGAATACGTGGGGTAAGTACCCTATCATTTCTCTTCGAGGTATAGATAGTATATATATTATCTCCCCCTTTGATGTTATTATCATAAAATATAGTTGTTTATGCTTATGAATAAATTCCCCATTGGAATCGATTCTTCTCGACCTCTGTTCACAGATTCAACTGATATACCAGAGGCTTCAATACTCCTGGATATTTATGAGATGTTATATTCATCTTGATGAATACCAATAGATTTTTATCACATGACTTATAGAATTAATTGTGAACCGTAGAGCTTAAAACGTTTAAACACCAATGAAACGTATCCGCTACTTTTTTTTGTTGCCTAAAAATCGATTTAAAACTCAGTTCTTCATCATGACACTCTTCAGATAGACTATTCCCATGTCCATTCTAATATTCTATTGATGATAACATTGAAATCAGTGATACCATTATTCATTTCTGTTTTATCAACTAACTATATTGTTTATAACTCAATTAGAATTTTGTCCATACTCTTTATAGATACCATAAACAATGGTACAATTTTGGGAATGATATAAATTATTCTTGTATATTGTGTTTTGTAGTTATGGCTTATTCAAAAATATCATTGATTAGCATCCTTGTTTATCAAAACCAACTTAAACGAAGTTCAAGTAACTGAAGATGGTTATAGCACTGACAGTAAAAGTGGTTTATAGCTTAGTGAATATATCCAGGTCTTTTTCAATTATGGCAGATTGTCTACTGAAATCATCATCTTCATCAGAGCTTATTTCTTATTAATACTATACATTTCCAGATAGTAGCGTTCTCATTCAACATAACCTCGTTAAAACTTACTGACCAGTGATAATCTAACAGCATCAGCTGATCTTGAGACTTTAATTCACTGTGTCGTTATTATGAATTCATGATTTCATTTACATGAAGTTAGTACTATATGAATGTAAAGTTTGTGAAATGGTCGACTTGTGTTCTACAGCGAGTAAATACATCTACTATATAAATAGCATCATAACTACCAAAATTTTTTGTAGTGATAAGATAAGAAAAAGCATTTCCATATAAATAATATACAAATGCTTCTTCTGAATGATTAAGAGTTTATTTTAAACGCTTACTTAATTTATGTTTTCTAATTGACTAGCTGTTTTGACCTTTGTTTCAGAATCGCACTGAATATCTAGTAAAATGGAAGAATTGGTCTGACGAGTAAGTGGTATACAAACCTTATTACTATTATATTTTTCGAAAATTTTAATCTTGTTTTCACTTTTTTCATCCAAATACCTTGATTTTGAGCTTCAATTACGCTCAGTAGAATTTTTCACATTTTGTTTTGTATCGAAATAAGCTAGAATGAAAACTTAAATGTCTGCCCACGTTTATCTGGTCAATACTTTACTCTGATTGGTTGATTATATATGCATTGATCTATATTTCGACCTTCAGGTTTGCCTGATTTCTACCCCCGCTTATTTGACCTTACGGCCTAGCCTACAAAAAATGAACTGTATACGGCCTTGGATTTAACACAGCTGGTGTGTCTATAGTCCTAAAATTACGATCAGATCATCAAGTGACCCATTTTGCCTGTCTTAGCAAAGTTTTTTTTAAAGAAAAGTTAGAAAATGTTTGAATTCATAGACGCTATTACTTGAAATAGGCATAGTTTAGTGAAAGAGAGAACAGCTGGATCGTGTAGAGCACCATGCTGGCAATTCGGAGGTCGCTGGTTGTAGTTGCACTTCACCGTCATCCAGTATAAATATTATTAGTCTGTGAAACTATGGCAGACAGTCTCATGAACATGGTAATGATGGATAATGACTAGCACTGGAATGCAGGACTCGCGTTTCGTCGCTTTTGGGACTGGTCAGCTGGACGTACGTGACTTCTAGTGAGCGATGCTGTTCCCATGATCACTCCAAATGCCAGAGCATTATCCACTGTGCCACTGATTCGCTATACCCACTTCCTGTGCGATGGGTTCAGTTTTTATGTCGTTGGTTGAACGAAATTGACCGGCCACTACTAGCTTATGGGCTCCTGTGTGGCTGCCTCAGTATTGCCTATCGTTTAACTTTTATATTAATGATGTCATCCAAAGTATCAGCACATAGAATGGTTGTCGAACGCCATGTGAAGATACTAGCTGTTTTCTTTGTTTGGGTACATTCACAACCAAGCATTGTGTCTTCCGCTTGTAAGCGGCCATACCAAATTCACATATACGACCAATCGTTACTATTTTGTAGCTGGGATGCATCATACCCCCCAGATCAATCCTCAAATGACAAATTTCCCGACAAGCACAACAGTTTTTCTACTAAATTACTACAGATCTTACTGTTGATCAGATAAATAGGCAACTGGCCTATCACGACTTAAATCACCTCTGCGTTTTATCACCGAGTGGTGAGGTCATCCAGAAACATGGTTTACTACCAGCAGTTTAGTCGATAACAACTTCTCTATTCTACTGACGCTTCTCAAGTGCCTAAAAGTAATTGAAAGTGTTTTAAATCCCTTCACTTCTGCGTCTACACCTTCCACAAGGCAAACACTGTCTTGATGTGGGCGGGAAAAGCAGTATCTGATGCATAATATCTAATGACAACTTGAGAGTACTGAAAACGTGTATGAATCGTTTTCTAGCAAGTGTATGGAAAGATCTGTTTCTCTAGGGTTTTGCTCATCTGCTCGGTCGTAGTCCACGAGTTCATATTTTCTTAACCCTGTGAATCCGTGATATAAGTTAGTTGGAGGTCATTCGATGTCATCGGCGAGTATTTGTCTTTACACTTCACTAAGTCGATCCAACAGGTCACAATTTAATATTACTACTGAACAACTTGAGTAGTCAGAAACCAATCAGACTGATGTGTAAATTTCCCCAGCTAGGTCAGGGTAATCTAAGCACCGAACGACCGTTTCGCTTGCTTGGAGCTAAGCTCACAGCTTCTTTAGAACCTCGAGGAGTCCACCTTGAAACCAGTGAGTTATGAACACTGGACGATAATTCGAATGGAGGTATGGGGGCATTGGTCGGTTTCAAAACATCATGGACTGATATCAATTGGCGAACCATTGAAAACATCGGAACACTAGACAGATGCTTCGTTGTGGTTTAGGACCCCCGCCTACAAGACATCTACCTCCTTCTATTCAAGCGTTCAAGAACTATCTTAGCTGTCATCAGTAAACATATCATAAGTGCTGGCCCAGTACATGTTTGAAGCAATCACTTGTACCAATGTCGTACAAAATAATCTGCCTACACAAATCCGGTTATGTATAGATATTTTTCTCCGTATTTGTGCTGTTTAAGGCCTACTGTATAATTCCCTTTTTTATTTACTCATGATGAGTTACTAACTGTCATATGCTCCTCTGATTCAGTTTTTCTGGACGTTAATAAACATCTCAGAGGTGCTTATTTGTAACAGATAATTCTCAAGTACGAAAGAAACGAAATGGACTCTGCAATTGTGTGAAGGTTATTCCTGCTACCTTGCTACCTAAACCTCTACAGTGGGTTCGAAGTGGCTCAGTGGTCGATGAAATCTCTGTATGAATGCAAAAGGCTCAATTGGCTTTCGCCAACTTACGCCACCTATGGCGCCGCCGTGATATCCGATTGTCTATGAAGGATCGCGCGTACTGCACAGCAGTCCGCTCTGTTCTACTGTATGGCTGTGAAACATGGCCATTGAAGGTGAAAGACATGAGAAGGCTGACTTCAGGTGTTTGATCACCGTTGCCTTCATAATATAAGCGGTATCCCATGGTGTCACCACGTGAGTAACGCAGACGTCAGGTGTAGAGTTTGAGTTGAAGAGGTAAATCAGTTGACACGGTTGTTAACCTTCATCGACTGAGATGGTTGGGACACGTACTACGTATGCCTAGTCACCGATTGCCTTGTCACACAATGTTGGCTGAGGTGGGTCCAGGCTGGAAAAAGGCTCGAGGGGGCCAGACGAAAACATGGCACCAATGTATGAAATTGTTGACTGTTGGTTTGAGGCATGTGGGACGATGCAGACTAGGTGGTTGGGGTCGGCGGGACAAGAGGAACCAGTGGTTGGAGACCCTAGGTGATATGGCTCAGAATCGATGTCAGTGGCGCATATGTATTCCCATACACATTGTCCTCATCTTAACTACTGTACCGAATCTTACCATTTTCTCATTCTTTCTCTCTCTCGTTTGGTACTTTATATTTCTCCTGACTGAATTTTCTTTCCTTCATCTTCCACTTCACTGCCTTTTTACTTGATGTACTGATATGAGGTGTGGCAAATCGAACCATTACTGAGGAATACCTGGTCCTATGTTGATTTGGATGTATGTATGGGATGGGTTGGCTCGGGGTTCGAACCCGTGACGTACTAGTTAGTAGTTAATCAGTACAGTGCAAACCTATTTTTAGAAATTATAACTCAATTTTAAAGTGTCTTTTAGAAAGGTAGTAGTGTGATAATGACCAAAAGTTAGTCGTTTTGCTCGACGTATCATACTGAGGGATGTTGGATTCGGTTAGAAGAAAGTTGTCAGTGGTCAGTCCAAGACGTGACACCAGTCGGTGAAGTTTCTGCCTATTGATCTGAGCCATGCTAGGAGATGTAGACTAAGTGGGTGGAGTGTCCGAGACCATAGGAATCAGTGGTTGAAGATTCTTGGTAATATGACTGAAAATTGGTCATGATGGCGCAGATGTATTCACTTGTTGACATCATCAAGTTGTATATTCTCTCACACTTCTTTCTCTACTTTGATATTCCTCTTATTCTACCCATCTGTTGTTTGTGTACTACTGTGAAGTGTGGTAATTTGAGTTCGAAGTTTGACTTTCACTTGTGGCTCATTGATTTAGGCAGTTGATTTCCTACTAAATGGGTCACGAGTCCGTACACTACTCCACCCAGCAAGGTTTTGAGCAACCAAATAGTTATCATTAGCTGTCACATAGTAAATGTGACTGACTGAGCACAAGATTGCCGAATACGTTCCTAATTATCTTCATTCAGAGTATTATCATCATTTTTCGTAGTTTTAACGCCCATCGTCATCAGTATTCAACACTGATTTCACTTTTATGCATTTAAAGTGGGAAGTAACTCAGGTACTTGTACAACGTAGTCGAAGTATAAAACTCTCAAGTGAACAGCTTTGATTGCATATTATCATATTCAGCATTTAAGGATGTGTGTAACGCACACGGGAGCCAATGAAATCGTTAAGGATGCTCAACCTTTTCACATATTGTTTCTCTACATATCGTGAGCTAACAGAACTTGGGAACATGGACCATTTGATTCTGACCCAGTGACTCAGTGGTAACATGCTAACCCACGGAACCTGAAGGTCGCGTGTTCGATCCCTGGTGGGGTCTTGGGTGTGCACTGCTGAGGAGTCCCATGCTAGTGGGACAAAACAGCTGTCCAATGCTCCCAGGTTTTCTTTGTTTCTCCAATCGATATCAGTCTACGATGAATAACAACTTGAAAACATGTTGTCTCAAGTTATGTGTATTCTCTTTTCCAGACATAATACATGGGAACCAGAGAAAAATATATTGGACAAACGATTAATTGAGTCATTTGAGAGACGGTAAGTTGTATTCAATTAGTAAATACTTCATTGTTTCTTGTTTGGCATTTCCATTGGAAAATTTATATGAGAAACTGTTGACGGAAACGATAAAAGGTAGTTATATGCTTCAGATATCTTGATATGATTGATTGCATAATACCAAAACGTGTTGTCAAGACCTCATTGAATCCTAAAGTTGTTAAACACCTGATAGTCTGATGACTGATGTTACCTGACCACTATACTGTCTATCGATTTGTAGAGGTGTACACAACTGTAGTCGTTCACAGTGGATTACCTCTTACACACAATATATCATTGAATGCTCTAAGTGAATAATCGATTACTTCGGATTTCATTGATAGACTTCTTTCAGTGCACAACACTAGGATATCGACAGTTACATCAGTTACTCACTAACGGTTAGTGCACATAAGTAATCCAATCCTATAGAGGAACAGTTGTCGCTTGAATAGCTTAGGGGTTGAGTCTCTGACTTCACTATCGAGACTGATCCAGGTTCAGATCATTCAGCGGAGTTGTAGCTCTCTGGATTCGATTCACAGGTTGGAGTCCCTTTGCATGTAACAAGGTTTTGGTAGCCAGGTAGTATCATAACCGTCACACAATAGGTGTGGATCATTGTCTACTGGACAAGGTTACTCACTGCGTTTCGTTTTGAGATCATTCATGAAACATCAGCTTCCTCAGGGGGTTAGATACGCCTTGTTGATGAGTGTTAGCCAGGACAAAGGCTATTTATTCCCCACATAATGAATCCAAATGTTGTGTCATATACTTCAATGGTCACACCGCAAATCTGGTCGATAGACGTTCATTGGAACTCGGTAACTACACACACAAATGAACCTTTGATAAAGGTTTTGTTGTATATATAAGCGCTTCAGTTAAGATTTGACAGGGCAGTCAACTGGTGGTCTGGATGGCATTATTTTTTTTCCCCTTCGGTTCCTAGTGGAACGTAGGCATTGAGTAGCATGTCTCCAGTGCACTCTGTTCACTGCAGTCTTTTGAAGATGGCACCACGACTGCCCACAACCTTTCATTTCTTCCTCACACCATCTCCATGTCATCCTTGCCTCGGATGCCCAACTCATCGTTTCCCGTTTACATTCCACTCGAGTGCGCCTAGCCAGGCCTGACGCGTGATGTCCCCAAACCGTATTCTCAGTGTATGTCCAATCCAATCCATACCATCTCTACTATCTTCTTGTGCATGCTTGTTGGGCGATAGGTTCTTAGATGATTCGTTGACAGCTAGAGTTCCTTGTTGTTTATTCTTATTATTCTGGCCATCTGATCTTCAGTGTGAGTATCGAGTGAGCGTAGGTGGCAGCTGTTGATCACGTATGTCTGTAGTTTGTTGCCAATGTTTTTCATAACACACCGCCAAGTCTCTGAACTATATAGATGCAGTGACTTGATGTTGAAAATCGAGATGTTGTTCACGTATTGTGGTGAGTGCAGTAGATTTCCACACTGATTTCCGATTGATGAATGCCTGTCATGCTGTGTTTTCGATCCTGGTCTTGACAACCTCGTCTGTGTCTGTGCCGCCTGTAGTTGAAACGATGTTGCCTATCTAGGTGTAGGTGAAAGAGACTACTTCCTTTAGGTTTCTCTAGTTCCTACTGACTGATGCTTTTTGTTGATGTTATTGGAAATGACTTTCATAACGCAGCAAGTCTGTGAACCATCACATAGAAGCACTGACTTGACTGACTTGGTGTTGAAAATTAGGATATTGTTCACATTTTGTAGTGAGTACAGAAGATCTCTACACTGGTTTCAGGTTAATGAATGCCTGTCTTGCTACCTTTTCGATCCTGGCTACTATGACATCCTCATCTGAAACGATGTTGCCTACTTCCTTTAAATTTCTTCTGTTGATAATGATTGATGCTTGTTGTTGTTGTTGTTGGTTGGTTGGGTATCTTTATCACCTCCATCTTCTCTACGATGATCACTTGAAGTCCCGTCTTCACTGCTTCTTCTGTCAACTTGTTAATTTTCGCTTGTAGATCTTTGAGTTTGTACGATATATTAGACATAAATGCTTATCGTTGACGATATTCAAAAATCCTCATCTATGCGCCTGTATCATCGCCTGTAATTGAAATGAGATGCTTCTCAACCTAACTAGGTGTAAGAGATTACTTCATCATATTTAATTCTATCTATTATACTATATTATTTTTTTTGTAATTTCTTAATAATTTATTTATTCTTTTTTCATGGTATTCATATTTTTAGAGAGAAACGTAAAAAATGTCAACTAGAATCTTGTCAATGTGATAGAAGTCATAGTTCATCAGAAAGTCAAAAATTATCATTACATTCTTCGAGTAAACAATCTGATCATGAAATTAAAAAGATAAACGAAAACTTATCTATTGTTACAAGTTCAGATAAATCTGATTCCTATGAAACAACAACAACAACAACAAATCAATCAATTGATCTACCATTTGTTAAATCTTCTTTAAAGTCTGTAGACCCTATTCTTTCAACACTTTTACCAACTAGTAATAATAATAATAATAATTCAAATATTCCTGTAAATAAATCACCTATATATTTACATTCTTCAAATCTATCCAATGATTCAGTATCATCAAATAATATTGAATGGAATGATATGTGCTTTGATCGTCGTTTTCGTAAGACAACTCTTTTAGTCGCAGCAGCTTCTGCATCTGCTGCTAATGCAGCTGCAGCTTTAGCACATTCTAGATTATCTGGAAAACATACACAACAATCTAGTACAACTAGTAGTAGTACTGTTAACAATGTGGAAACTCCTCAATCTGTAAGTATTTATTACTGTTATTATTACTATTTTTTTCCCTTAAGGAACTCTGGGAACGAACCAACCAAGAACCTATCACGCAGCAAATATGCAGGAGGAAGTGGAGATGGTTGGCCATGCACTGAGAAGGCCGACGGAGGACATCACGCGTCAGGCCAGTCACTCGAGTGGAATCCCCATGGGAAGCGACGAGTTGGACGTCCAAGGTGAGGGTGACATGGAGGAGGTCGTGCGAGGAGGAAATGAGAGGTTGTGGGCTGTCGTGGGACCAGGTTCAAAAGATCTCAGAGAACAGAGGTCACTGGAGGCGTGCTACTGAAGCCCTATGTTCCACTAGGAACCCAAGGGACTAATAATAATAATAATAATAATAATTACTATTTTTTTCCCTTGGGTTACTAGTGGAACATTAGGCTTCAGTAAGTAGCACACCTCCATTCCAATCTCTTCTCTGAAGTCTTTTTAAACCTCTCTTCACCACCGCCAACAAGCTTTCATTTCATCCTCACACCATCTCCTCCATGTCACATTTACCTCGGACGCCCAACTCATCGTTTCCCATTTAGATTCCACTCGAGTGTGCCTGACTGTGCATCGGTTGTGAGCAGCGAGAAGAGGGGGATACACTGGACTACGGAAAAGAACCTAGAAGACTTGGATTTCGCCAATGATGACTTGTGCCTGATGTCACACAAACTTGAAGATCTACAGGCAACAACTAACAAGTTGACAGAAGAGGCAGGGCAGCGAAGACGGGACTTCAAGTGAATATAGAGAAGACAGAAGTGATGAAGAGACCGCACCACTAACAACAAAAAACTCCAGTCACCATGAACGGGAGAAACTTGAAGGAAGTAACCTCTTCACTTATCTAGGCAGCACTGTTTCAACTACAGGTGGCGGAACAGACGAGGATGTCAAAGTCAGAATCGGAAAGACAGCAAGACATGCGTTCATTAACCTGAAACCAGTGTGGAGATCTTCTGCACTCCACTCAGCATGTGGAGCAAGATGTGGATTTTCAACACCAACGTCAAGTCAGTGCTTCTGTATGGCTCAGGGACGTAATACCGGACAAACCTATGACAGAGTATGAGAATAAACAGAGGATCATGAAAACAAGATTGTAATTACGTAATGCAGGTTAAATCTATGACAGTAGAAAAACGAATAAGGTATACATATGTATTGACTGACACAAAATAAATCTGTGGCAGACGGGGTTTTATGATGGTCATGGCAAAGATAAAGGTTGGACGTACCTTTTTTTGGTTTGATCGAACCCTGTAGAGAATTTTAAATGAGCCCTCGAAAGGAGTTAAGTATCCTGAATTCACGAGGTGTTCTGTTATTGAACTGAAGATGTATTTCCGTCCTCCCGATGTAAGCCAGGCTGGGTAGTGTTCAGCGTAGTAAATGAATTCGTCGAAAAGAAAAATGCTTCTTCGCTGAAACTAAGTCTTGTTTTTTCCTAAGATCAAATGGGTGTATTCCGCTTTTTAAAGAGACTGAAATCAGCTGCGCAACTATTGAAAACCTGGGATTATTGGATAACTGTTTCGTCCTAACGTGAGATTCCTCAGGAGTGCGCAAACCCACGACACTCCGCCAGGGGTCTAGCCTAGGAACTTTAAGTTCCACGGCGATCACGTTACCACTGAGCCAGTAGGTCAGAATACTATGGTCCACATTTTCCTACTTCTGTCAACTGACGATGTATTGCGATCATCAGTGGGCATCTGCATCACTTCTGACTTAATCGGTCCCATAGAACTTTCAGGAAATCCATCTCTTAGCATATCATTATTGGTCACTAGACAGTAATTTAGGTTTTCGGGTTTGACTTCAAGGTGATGTTCATCACAGATAAAATAACTGTCCTGTGCTTCCGCGTCTCCAGTGGTTCTCCAACTGGTGTTTACTAACTTTACACGGATGGAGTACAAGCCTCCATTGAAACGGCAGGTTCGGATAAAAAGCCAACAGATAGAGATAAGGGACTTAGCACATTTTGTTGCTGTTGTTGTTGTCCCCTCTTCAACTTGTCACACTTCAAGTGGACATCAATAGAATAAGAGACAAAGAAATGAAAATGTCCACAGTAATAACAAGATTAATGTAAACAAGTAGACAATGTTGATAAAAGGGGATTGTTGTGTTGTAAAAATACCATAGGATTAATGACATAGAGACACTGTGTACAGAGGACTGAGAAATCGAGTTGGTATCGATGAAGGACTGATATGAGTTGGAGGAAGATTGGAAACCTGGGAGGACTGGAGAGTTGTTTCACCTCACTAGTGTGCGATTCTTCAGCAGTGCGCACCCATGACCCCATCCTCTAGAGATCGAACCTAGAACCTTCAGGTTCGTAGGTCACTACGTTAACATGGAGCTACACTTGGTCGGAATCCTATGCTCCATATCCCTAACTTCTGTCAGTTCATGAGAATGAATGATGACTTCTCATGAGAACTTGAAGAATCACCTCTTGAAGGGAGTGTTCGATGAGCACTGTGTCAATTGAATTTGGGTGTTCGTGGGGGGTGGGGGTGGGTGGGTGGATTTAGTGGTTTTTCAAGTTGGTATTCATCATGGATTGACATCAATTGAAGAAAGATTGGAAAGCTGGGAGTAGTGTAGATGAATTTCGTCGTAGTATGGGACTCTATAGCAGGGTGCATCCATGACCCCACCTCAGCAGAGATAGAACTGAGGACCTTCAGGTTGCGTGGTTGTGAGCTGACAGGACGTGAAAATATAGACCATTGTATTCTGACGAACTGTCTGAATGGTAACGTGCTTGGCATAGGATCTGGAGGTCCTGGGCTCGATCCCTGGTGTATGGGGTCATGGGTGCGCACTTCTGAATGGTCCGATAGGAGGATGAAACAGCTGTTCAGGTCTCCCAGGTTTCCAATGTTCCTCCAACTGATGTTTGTCAGTAATGAATACCAACTTGAAATCAATAAATTCCCACAAGCCCTCAAATGGACTGAGAAGTGCTTCATAATAGTAGAGATGAGATTTTGTTCATTTAAGAAAACAAGAAATTTAGTTCTATCCAAACTGTTTATAATTATCAGACATCTGGTCAGTGAATAATTGCACTCTGACTTTCTACGACAAAGATACTGTTGCCTTAAATAAACTATGTACACTCACACCCTGTCGCTTATCGGTTTTGACAAGCTCGAAACCTGAAGGAAATCAGACTGTAGTACTATCATTTTTCTGGTGAATGTCTATGATTCCAAGTATATATAAAGTGTGTTTACCTTAGGTGTTGTTTCTAAGGAGAATAGACGTTCACTGTAGAAGTGTACTGCTTCTTACCTCATATAAGATTTAATTTTGTTTAGGATTTATAATTTGATTACGTAATAGGACACTAATCATAACTACCTTTCTATATTGATTTACTTTTTGTTTTATTTTCGCTTATATATCAGATGATGACGATAGCTCAATCAACAGTTGAAGCGAATGTTGTTGCCAAGACTGGTGTGCAATCGTCTATAGATGGTACCTTTGAAGAAAGACCAAAAATTCGATTGACTATACCACGTGATCGTATTCTACCTTGTCCTCCAGTCGGTGTATCAAGTAACTCTTCTAGTAATAGTCAAAATTCATCTCAATTGACAAATAATACATCTGTTGGTTCATGGAATACTATCATAGACGATTCTGATCAATCATTATTATTGGAATCGAATTCAATGAAACAAGATGATACAATTGCTGGAACACAATTTATAGCTCCAGTTGAATTACCTCGACGATGTAATCCTACAGTGGTAACACCGCATTCAATTAATCCAACAGCTGGTATGCGTTTACCTGAAATCCAGATAGACAATTCATCTCAATCTTATTATCATGTAGATATGACAAATATTTGTAAATCACCGAAATGGAGTAAACAAACATCATGTATGGTTACATCAAGTTGTATGCAACTTCCGAAATTGGTCATCACTACTACAACTTTATCATCAACTTCACCATCACCATCATCATCATCATTCGATTTGATTATCTCTTCAAAGAAACGCAGTCGACAGTTTAGTTCAGAAGGTGGTTTTTCATCATCACCAGGTTATGATGTTGAGCATGATATTGTTAAGAAACGTAGACATTCACAAAAGAAAGAGAAACGTAAACGTCATCGTGATCAAATATCTGACTATCCATACAACAGTCATCATCATCGTCACCATCATCATCATCATCATCATCATCAACATTCAAAGAGTGGTTATTCTTCATCTTTTGAAGAGTATAGTATGAATACAAGTAAAATACGTCGACGTTCTGGTTCATCAACATCGCATACTTCTTCAATGTCTACAGACAGTTTTTCACCAACAATTCTATCGAATAATACATCACCAAATGAAGATTTTCCTCGATTAGCTCCATTACGTATACATTTACCTCGATCAATAACATCTCAATTATCTGCACCGGATAGTTTAAATTCATTTACTGAAAATCAATCAATTATTGATTATCCTATTCAACGATTATCTTCTTGTGGAATGACACATACTACTCTATCTACATTAGTCAATACGTCTAGTTGTTTTGTAAGAAATCCGAGTGGTGGCGGTAGTAGTAGTGCTAGTAGTGGTAGTATTGGTAATAATCATACTACTAATAATAGTAATGATAATATTATTGAACAACGAAAACAAATACACTTAGTACCAGAAATGTGTATCACTGATATTACAGTGGATGGTTTGACGATTAGTATAAAGGAATGTAGTGGACCAAGAAATTTTTTTGGGATACCGACTAGTCAACTTGTTCAGCATAACTATCCTAAAAGTGGTTACATGGTGAGTAGTATCGATCGTTCGATGACAACGACTACTTCCACAACGATGACAACTGCCACTGCTGCTGCTGCCGCCGCGACCACCACTACCACCACCACAACAACAAATACTGTGGTTTTAACCAACACCACCACCACAACAACAACAAATCAATGTATCAAACCATTGTGTTTAAGTTTAAAGGAACAAAACCACTTGTCAACAAATCCATCAATGTTGCCTATCTCTACAAAGTTAGATGCTTCATTGTATGATAATTGTACAGTATTAAATAGTCAAGATACTACTCATATCAAGAGTAATATTATGCATAAAGATAATGATAATGATTTTGAAAATTATGATGATATTGATTGTATAAAAAAAAACTCACTTAATGAATATGGTGATGAGAATGTTGCTCCGTCAATAGTGATATCTCAGTCATGCACCTTGTCATCATCATCATCATCATCATCGTGTTGTACATCACAGATATCTCCAACACATTCCATGTCAAGTATTATGACACTATCATTGCCACTATCAAATATTACTTCGACTACTGTGATAACCACTTCATGTGGAATGAATCATCTACCTTTGAGTACAATATATGAAGAGACTGAATCATCTACAATATCATCTGTAGACATTTTAAAGAATTCATTAAAATCTGAAGAAAATGAAGATGAAACTGAAAAATTGATATCAACTTCAAAATTAACCATTATGACAACATCATCATCATCATCATTGAATGAATCTTTCACTTATCCTATAATTGATACAGTACTAGCTAATAGTTCACATTCACATCATCTCTTATACAAGCAGCTACAGAGGCGATTATGAAAAGTGCATTAGAATCACCAAGTTCACCAGGTCTATTATTACCTCCAAGACGTTCATCTACACCGATTGAACATACACCACCATATTTAATTCAATCATCATTTTTAAACTCTTCACAGAACAAATTGAATTCTAGAGAAATCAATCAATCGATTGATTATCAATCACCTATACGAGATACTACTACTACTACTACTACTACTATTAATACTACTGAAATGAATAACGTCCCCCCTATACATACTATAGATGTCACCAGTTGCATGAATAATAGCAATGTGTCGACATCGATTACTACTATTTCTAAGTCCATTTCACCATCGATTTCTAATACTACTACTACTACTACCACCACCACCACCACCACCACCACAACTCCTCCTCCCCCTCCTCCCCCTCCTCCTCCTCCTCCTCCTCCTCCTACTACTACTACTATAGATCCTATGTCAATCACACAAACTCGTAAATCTTTAAACTCGAAGATAAGCACAATCAGTATGACAAGTACACCATATCGACCGATGGCAACTATATTCGGTCAAGTACGTAATCGTAGTACTACAAGTATTAAGTATTCAGCTAATACTGTTGCTTCAACAGTGACAACAACAACAGCAACACTACTAACTAGTTCTACTGGTCTTGTGAATACACTAGGATATTCTTCTACGCGTAAATCTGTTAAATCTAAGCATATCTTATCATCATCTAGTAACTGGAATAATAATGATAATAATCTTTATGATTCAGTGAATACATTCAAGTCACTTGATATGATAAATACTTCACATAAAAAATCAATAATCCAAGTAATATTTACACTTTTCCTGATGAATCTCTTACTTATTGTAATACTGGTATAAATGTCTGTAGTATGGAGTGTATATCATCTTCACATAATAATATCCCTTTGTATTCTTCATCTTCTACAATATCTGATATAAAACACACTGAATATCGTGTCAATAATTCGTCTGGTGGCAGTGGTAGTCGACAAAGATCAACAAGACAAAATCATCATCAGTTTACAAATCGAAATTATGATTCAAAAAATTGCCGTCTCTTGTCATCTCCAACAACAGTATCATCATCATCATCGGTGTCGACGTTACCGTTGACATCATCCACAATGACATCATCATTAGGCAAAGTTGTTGATTCAGATTTAGTAGGTAACTTTTCACCATTCTTAAATTTATCAACATTTTCTTCATCAATTATTCAACCGTGTAATACTACTACTACTACTACTACTACTACTACTACTGCTACTGCCACTACTACTCCACTTGATATATGTTTACCTTCATCGATTATCAATGATCAATTGGTGTATAGTCAAGATATTAATAAACAGATATACAATTGTAATAATATGATAAATAATTCAAATAATCCAGAGGCTGCATTAGCTACAGCTATTTGTTTACAACAATTACAAATGCAATTAATGTACACTACAAATCCTGTTTCTATGGCTACAGCATTAACAAATGCATTGACCACTGGTTTCTCAACAAATTCACTTCTACCATCATCATTTCATTTCAATTCTACTGGTACTATTCCTATTACTACTATTGGTAATAATAATAATAATAATACACATTGGTCAATGCCAAATCCATTTTTATCGCATACATATAATCCTATTGATCCAAATTTATCTTTACCATCAATAATCAATAGTAATCATAGTATGATAGGATTAGGGAATGATGCCAACTATCTATTTAATCCATGTTCACATCATCATAATTCATTAATGAATACATATACTCAATTTCAATTGACTAACAACTCTATGGATGGATATACATTGAATGAAGCAGCTGTAGCAGCAGCGGCGGCGGCAGCAGCAACAAGATCTGAACTTTATTCTACTATTGGTTGTGATACAGGTGTCATGATATCAGAATCATCTGATTTACCAATTGACTTATCAGCTAAAAGATGACACTTTTCAAATAGAATAAAGATGAAGAAGAATCCAGTTACAATTGGGCTTTCATTGTACATAATTATTATGTTGTATATGTATATATATATTCCTAGTTCTTATAAACATTTCTTTGATCTCCATGGTTATTGAGAGATATGCACAGATTTATTTATACCTATTTATACAGAAAGTATTACTAAAGATGATGTTCAATCTGTATTCTGTAAATAAGTCTTAACTCTTAGTAGTATTGCTTTATGCTCATATTTATCTAGTTCTCATATCATTTCAGTGTCCTCTTCTTTCTCCTTCCCACCCCCCCCTTCCTTTCATGACCGTGAATATACTTTCCATTGGTCAGTTAAGTCGATTGTAATTTTTTGAATGTTGTTTCCAACCTTTGCCAATTTCATTTATTCACCTAGAAGATGTGTCTATCATTGTTACATATACATCTTTTAAATGAATAAACTGTTGATCACTGTATACTTTTGCCTCATTCATTTTCTTCTATTGTGTGTTTCTCGGTTTCTACATGCACACACACACACACACATAGTCTCTGTTTCCTTTCGGTTTACTTTTGATTTCATCCAGTATCTTTATTGTTTTTTTCTACTCTCAGAGTATTTGCACATTTACTTAGTACGTTATTATTACTACTGTTATTACTATTATTTCCTATGAGAAAGGGTATACATTCGCCATTTACATGTACTACTGATTATGAAAAATAAACGAAGAGTACTTACTTTATCATTGATTGAAGTTAGTGGCTTTTATCAACTAAGTAATGGAGTATTTCTATGCACTCTAGAGTGAGAGGAAGAGTATCTATGCGCCAGTAGTTGAAGTGGTGGAGAATATTTGTAGTTCAGGTGGATGGTCTTGGTTGTATTGTGTTCCTCTAAGCTGGGTTGTCTTGGTCGTGCTGTATCTGACACTCTTCGGCAGGAAATGCTGACGATGGCACTCATGGAGAAAGTATAGTTGTTCTTTTGTGGAAGCTTGCCTCTTGGACAAGTCCTCCCTGAGCTCAGAGAACACAATCCAACCAAGATCAGTAGTTGAAGGATTACCAACCAGTATACTCTGTTGCATAACTATCACACATTGTCACTGAAATGAGAATAAATGAAGAGCTGATAGGGTTTTTGCCCACAAGTGTCTTTATAGAATCGCTCGTGTTCGCTGGAATCACCGTGTGAGGAATGTTGAGGTCAGGCGTAGGGTACTGCACAAGACAAGCGTGTCGACTGAGATGGCTTACATATGTACTGTGCATGCTGAGCCGTCGCCTATCTCGACAGGCCTTGCTAGAAGTTGGATTCGGTTGGAAGAAAGTTCAGGGTGACCAGACCGAAACGTGGTACATCCAGCTGACGAGTCGCGTATCGGACGGAACACACGTCCTGGATTCCTCTGTTAGCCACAACCAACCAGATTGCCAAGGTTTGACAGTGTTCATAGATTATGATGTATTAAAACTCATTCGAAGCTAACTGGTATATATTCTAAACTAAGATCTGATCAGTAGTTCAGCTGGTTGAGCACTGGGCCTGTAATCCGGAAGTCGCTAGTTCGAGTCCTACCACGGCCCACGTCATTACTTAGCATCAATAATTTGTATCCTAAAGATCATGTTTTAAACCTCAATATAATTTGGAGTTCGGGGAATTTATTTATTGATTTCAGATTGATATTCCTCACTGACTGACATCAATTGGAGCATCATTGGAAACCTGGTAGCATTGAACAGCTGTTTCCTCTCACTAATATGAGACTCATCAGTAGCGCACACCCATAACTTCATCCCATGAGGTTCCGTGGTCAGTACATCACATTGGGCTAATGGGTAGGATATCAATGATCTTCACTACCCACTTTTATCACATGAATAGGATTGTAACATGCTCTGAATACATTCAGCCTAAAATGTTAGACCGCATAATCCTCATTTTCAAATTTAATCAATAAACCTATTTGTTGCTATCATATTTGTCTGAGTAGATGACTGCGTCTCGACATCATCATTGTAGGTCATGATGGTTGTGACTCATCAATTATCTCATATGATCTGGATTAAATCAATAATTATACATCATTTTTAGTATTATAGTAACTAATCTAGGATCGATTTTAACTATGATCAAACCTCAATGACACAGTTGTGTATAGTAATGAGTCATACAATTATGAACATGATTCACATAACCCACCTATCTGTCTATCCACTAATTGCGACATAGTAGGTACAAGTGATCTCATATCAAATAAGACGGTGAGTAAAATACTCAAGGTGTTAACAATAGATCTGATATGATTATCGATATTTTGAACCTCAGTGAACGTCTGCCTAATTGGCATTAGGTTGTATGTCTATGCTAAATCATGTTCACGTAGTAGATTAGAGTATAGTGGAGAATATTTATAGCTCAGGTGGATAGTCTTGGTTGTAGTGTATTCTCTGAGCTGGATTGTTTTATCGTGAAGCTTTCATCGTCTGTCTAGACGATATCATCAGCACTAATCAATAAACGTATCATCCTACCATACATAAAGAATATATCAGAAATCACGACAAGATTACTGAAGCAAACTATTTGGACTTGGTATGGTTCATAAACCGACGAATTCCCTTCAACCACTATTATGCAAACCAAAGAAGACACATCGAATATCATTTACAAAATCGAGTACAATAACTTTAATGAACACTACACTGGACAAAGTCATCAACCTCTTCGCCTTCGTCCACATGAACACCAATTGGATATTAAACGTCACGACATTTCGTCACTCATTTCAATACACGTAGATAACAACTATGGACATGAATTCAATTTTCACAATGTAGAAGTCTTGGACGGAGGAAACACAAAGAATAGCAGAGAATTCCTAGAAGCTTGGCATTCAGGTCAGTCAGTCAGCAATCAATAGATGTATAGACATAGACCCAATCTATCAACCAATAAGGAAGATGATAAACGACAGAAAGGTCAAAGGTGAAGCATAGGGATAGCCAACAGGAAAATCTATCCAGTCAACGACACAACAATCGAAGGAAACAACCAATCACAGACCACATCGTCAGAGCAAGCTACTAAATCACTCACTGACGGAGAGATATTGACAGCTCACTTCATACTGAAGTTAGTGCTGATGATGTCGTCTAGAAAGATGATGAAGGCTCCACGATTAAACAACCCAGCTCCTCAGAGAACACAGTACAACCAAGAGATTGGAGTATAGTGGGTACTTCCAGTCTGCTCAAGTCACTATGACAACTCCATTTGTCATCTACCATTATCTTTGGTGAAATTCATGAGACAAAACTGTTGACGATAACACTGGTTATCTATTGAAAGTTATCAATAAGTGTGTCAATGTGGTGTAACACTCAAATCTACTCACCATCCAGTTTCAATGAAAAATATCTTTATTTCATTACTATTTAGAAGTGATAGAAGGCTTCAGCAGTATGCTACAGCAAATAAACGATTTCACAACTTCCCATTGTATGATGAAGCATAAATAGGGAGAAGTAATCGTGATGCACAATTGAAGATGCTTGAAAGTGCACCAGATGACTTTCAGCTAATCTGACAACTGGTGATAACTAATGTTCAGTCGTCATCGATTGCTCAACACATACTAGAAACTACGTATACGAAGTAGACAATAAAACAACCTTTATAAAGTATTGGATATGAGTGGTCAGGGTTGAGTACCGAAATTTATCGAAATTCTGGTCATATAGTATTGATTTTAACTTTTTCATACCAATGATGGTGTGAATATGAATTATTATTATTTGTCCTTGGGGTTCCTAGTGGAATATAGGGCTTCAGTAAGTAGCACATCTCCATTCCACTCTCTTCTCTGCAAACTTTCCAACCTGGTCCCACGACAGCCCACAACCCTCATTTCTTCCTCACACCATCTCCTCCATGTCACCCTCATCTCACACGCCCAACTCGTCGTTTCCCATTTGGATTCCATTCGAGTGGCTGGCCCGGCCTGGCCTGGCCTGGGCCGGTGCGTGATGTCCCCAGTCGGCCTTCTCAGTGTATGCCCAATCCAATCCATCTACATCTTTGTTGGGTGATAGGTTGTTGGTTGGTTTGTTGTCAGGTCAGAGTGAGTTCCTTGTTGTTTATTCTTATTATTCTGGTCATCTGATCTTGAATAACTGGCGTAGGCGGTTGTTGATGAATATCTGTAATTTGTTGGGAATGCTTTTCGTAATGCGTCAGGTCTGTGAACCATCACATGGAAGCATTGACTTGACTGAATTGGTGTTGAAAATCCAGATGTTGTTCACGCTTTGTGGTGAGTGCAGAAGATCTCCACAATGATTTCAGATTATTGAGAGCCTGTCTTGCCTTTCCAATCCTGGTTTTGATATCCTTATCTGTGCCTGTACCGCTTGTAGTTGAAACGATTCTGTTTGCCTAGGTAGGTGAAAGAGACTACTTTCTTTAAGTTTCTCCTGTTAATGGTGATTGGTATCTCTTGTTGTTGTTTGGGCATCTTCATCACTTCCATGTTGTCTGCATTCACTTGAAGTCCCGTTTTCGCTGCCCTGCCTCTTTTGTCAACTTGTTAGTTTTTGCCTGTAGATCTTCGAGTTTGTGTGACATTAGACACAAGTCATCGGCGAAATCCAAGTCTTCTTTGGTTTCTTCCCCAGTCCAGCCAGTGTATCCCCCTCTTCTCGCTCCTCACTGTTTGCTGCATGGTCCAGTTTACCACAATCAGGAAGATCGTGGGTGGACAATAAGTTATGTCCGAAAGGTTATCCAGTGAATGTGTGAAAATACTAAGAAACAGACCAAAAAAGGATGGTACGATGATGAATTTTGATGTGTCATGAGATGTATGTCGTCAATTCATCGACGGAACAATATAAATAACAACAATAAACTTACACCCATCCAGCTGACGAGTCCCGTGTCGGACGAAGCAGGGGACTCCACTGCTAGACACTATCCATCATTAGTACATTATACATG